TCCCCTGTGCATGGTCAGGCAGCATCCCCTCCCTGCGTGGATCAGACGGATTCTACCATGAACAGTGAAGGGACCTCTCCAGGGGATGGAGATTGTGCCCTCCTCCAATTGTGTCATCGCACATGTACAGTCCGGTTAGCATGTGCACGGCATAGCCTCTGCTCCGAACACTATGAAGGGATGGTTGCTGCAAGCCTCTGTCGCAAAAACTGCGATCCTTTGTCTTGTGTTCTCTCCTTGATTACTTGCCCAGCATGCTGTTGTGGCCTTTTAATTTGGACCATTTCTCGATTTATGCGTGTCATCCTTGCGCAGGGGCCATGCTAATCTTCTCTGTATCGTTCCAATTTTAACAGATGTCCCGAAGGACATGCTGTTGTGGCCTTGATCTGCCATGCTTGAATAATTGCGCACGTCAGCCTTCTTTGCTGATGACATGTCAGCAACATGCCATGTGTCGTCAATGTTTCCAGGAAGTTGTCATAGAAAGTACCTGTCTCTACTGTGTGGACTATCTCCGGTGCCATCATCTGCCACATCCTCTCCTGGCATGTCGCACATGCGGTGTTGGTCATACACCTACTGGAACCGCAGTCGGAATTCCTTCTTCCTTGCCTGACGCCCCGAGGAGGAAAAAAAATAGATTACCATATGGACCACCTACAGAGCGCTGTACTGATAGGTTGTCTCCAGCAGGGTGATCTGTTGCAGACCAACTCCCGCAGCAGCTGAACGCCCTTGCTGTGGATCAATCTCTCCCGTGGTTGTCTACCCATAGAGAAGCAATAAATGCTGAGGAAACCCAAGAAACTTGCTCCATGCCGCTTTGTGATGACCCACTGGAGATTTAACTAGCATGTGGTTCACATGCCTTATGCCGTGAGGATTATAAAGGGATAACCCGGGTGAGCTATTGTCTTCATACATATGATGACAGTCTATACTGCACTCATGTACGGCACCCTGACATGTCATGTCCAATTTGTAGACGGGCTGGAACAGCAATGCCTCTAAGATTGCAGTCGGCGTGCCTCTGTGTTCCTAGCATGTAGGAGCCACGTAGCCTGTGACATGTCTACGCCGTGCCATTCCATGTAGTAACTGTGACTGTGAGAAATGGATGCGGTGCTTCCACAGGCCACACCCAAAACGGTCCTGCCCCGTCTGTAGAGGTGGCCACTTACCATAGGCAACAGCTGTTCCTCAAATCTTATGCAACCCACACACTGATTGGCCTCACGTGCCATTCTAGAGTGGTCTGCCCCAGCGGTCACTTTTTAGAACCCTTTCTTTTCACCTCCCACTTCCTTCCTCCCCCCTCTTGTGTATTACTAGCAATACATACGAATGAGCATCATTACGAGAACAGATAAAATGTAAGTTGAAGATCTGAGAAGAAATGAACAGGAATATACCTCCACCGTTGCTTTGCCTCCTTTCATAGTGTGCAAGTGGGCCCTTATGGCACACGGGGATGCGGGCAGCTTGCGCTCAACCACAATGGCACAATCAACGTGGCGAGCCTTGTGCATGGGAGGCACGGTAAAGGGGGAGCTGCAAGAACAAATGAAAGGGGTACCCTGAAGAAAGCGAATGTGAAAACATTCAAGAAAGGGGTTTACATCCTTCTTTTGTACTTCATGTTGCTTGCTATAGGGGTGAAAGTTCCGTAAAACTGTTTCGTTGTTGGGTTGTCTGAACTCAAGGGCTTTTGTTGTCTGTAATAGGATTGAATCAATTTGAATGTGCTTTGATTTTGGATTTGCTCATCTGGGTGGAGTAGGGGCTGCTGTGGTGAAAATTCAAAACACACACAGACACACACACACACACACACACACAGAGAGAGAGAGAGAGAGAGAGAGAGAGAGAGAGAGAGAGAGA